TTAAATTTTAGTGAATAATTGAAGATAGAAACATAAGTTGGGTGACCATTGGGACAATTAACTCCATTTTTGGTGGGCTATAGCCTGGCAAGGGAAGACTGCTCTCTTCCCAATTAAAACCGTTTCGTTCCAATTGATGGAAATCAGCCTAGATTCAAAATTTTCTTCAGCACCAACAAAATTCTCTAGATTTTAGGGGAAAACATTGCTTCGATTAATAGGATTTCTTGTTATTTGCTAAACCCTTTTAAAGTTCTTGATTTTAAGCAATTTCGTGATCAGATAATTCTATAACCCTTTCAGAGTTTTCGATTTCAAGCAATTTCTTGATCAGATTGTTCTATAACCCTTTCAAATTTCTCGATTTTAGTTGCCAGATCAAGAATGGCTGCCAGAAATACCAAGAAAATAAGAGAAACGTCGGATTCCGACCACCTCAGCTGTTTACCAGACAGTATTCTTAGTCATATACTGTCTTTTCTTGACACAAAATCCGCTATTAGAACTTCTGTTTTGTCCAAACGTTATGCACTTGTTTGGACTTTACTGTCAAATCTTGATTTCAAATATTCAGGCACTGATATTACTGGTTTTACTTCATATGTTAACCATGTTTTGGATCGCAGGGAACACAGCATAGTTACCAGTTTTCGCCTTTCATTGCATAAAAATGTGGATTCCTCATTCGTCGAGAAATGCATTGAGTATGCGGCTGCACACAAGGTGCAGGATTTGAGGGCTCGAGTTTGTACTAAACCTAAGTCTGTTGTATTGCCAGGATTGTTGCTTAATTTGTCGTGTTTAAGAATTTTAAGATTGAATAATGGGACTTGTTGGAGTATAGAGTTACCAAAGTCACTTGCATTGCCTAATTTAAAGGTTTTGAGGCTCAAGAATTTTGCATTTTCTGATAGTAATTATAATGGGGAGATTTTTATGGGGTGTCCGAATCTTGATACTTTGGTTTTAAACAAGTGTTGGATTAGGCCAGTCGGTGAACTCAAGGTTTTGGAGGTGAATTGCTTGAAACTTAAGAATTTGGAGATAAGGTTTTGGAGGAGTCCTTGGAGATGTTTTGATGAATGTATGATCAATGTGACTGCGCCTCGGCTTGATACTTTTCGATTACAAGGTCACCTTGTTAAAGTGAATTTCAAGGAGTCTTTGGTTTGTTTAGAGAAGGCCTCTATCGATTTGTTCTATCCTATGTCATGTGTAATGGTGGATACATGGGAGAGAAGGCAAAGGATGTCAGAAACTTTTATAAGTATGCTTGGCAGACTATGTATTGTGAAATCTCTCTTCCTATCGACAAAGACGACTGAGGTATTACTGAATCAATCTTTATTTATTTTTGAGGCCTTAAGGAATAATCGAAGCAAAATCAAAATTTGATAATTTACTTTGGTATCATTATTTAAAGATTTCATTTAAGATTTTGGAAAGAGAATAATCTAATTGCATTCAAGTTTAAATCATGAAAAAAAAAGAGAGTTTTCTTTCAGTTTTTTTTGCTTTCTGTTATGTTATGTTCTACTGGAATTGTGTTTATCATTTGAAAGAGTAACTGAAATCATATTATAGAATTATGTCATATATAGAAGAACTATTCTGTTTCTTGAAAATTTCGTACTTTAAAGTGATTTGTATCTCTACTTCTCCTAGGTTTTGTCTGCTGTTTCTGATTTAAGAAAACGTGCACCTCTTACCTTTGACAATTTGAGGTATATAAGGTTCACAGCTGAGAATAAACATTCAGAGAAGTGTATAACTATCAACGAACTTGCACAGTTATTGAAGAGTGCAAAGAATGACTATTTAATGCTCCGTGATTCTAAGGTACGGTTGTTGTCTCTTTAGCTTAATATTATGTCTTGTAGCCTACACTTAATAAACCAACCTTATGACAAGATTTGAACTCATTAGTGCATATTTGGTACATAGTATTAGACATAAATTGAAAATATAATAAACAAAATTTTAGCTTATTGTTTATTAATTTTGTCCGGTCCTCTCCACCAAACAAGTCATTAAATTTCATCAATCATATATTTTGAGAATTTCAGATTCGTCAAATTTAATGTGCAATACGTTATTTTGGCAAGAAAAAGCTAATAGTTAGCGTAGCATACAAGAATTTTCAGTAAGGTCACATATAATATGCAATGCTGGAGAGGATTGCAGAGTACAAATGACCAGATTTTCCTTATTCTTGTTCCTTAATAGAGTCTTGTTGTGTACCAGACATGCTTTAATTGTTTATTTTGACTTGTTTAGTCTGATTCCAAAACTCTATCCTTTCATAGGATTCAAAGAGTTGGAAGACCAAACCTAAGCGAAATTCGAGCTACACTGCTATACGTGCAGGTGTCATCTCCTACTTGCTTGATAGCTGTCCTGCAGCAGAAAATGTAATTGTCGAACTACCAAAGGTATTTCTTCTCGAATGAAAGGCAAGCCAAAAGTCGAGGAAATCAATGTTGTGACTAACACCGATAATTCTCTCTCTTTTTCAGGCATCAACAGACCAATAAAAGGTAAGGTATATGTTTACATAGAAAATGGTCAAGACCGGATAAAATATTGATGATCTTTTTTTGCCTTTATTTCTTGTCGAGCTAGAAAGAGAACTATCAATATTGGTGCCAAAATATGTGTATCTTTTTGTCCCTGGAAATTGTTGAAATCATAAAATATGTACTTGAAGTTGAAGTTCAGCAAATTTCTGTGTTTGTTCGCAAAGGATTTATTTGTTTTTGTTGATATTTGAGTATTTTTGAATGCTTCAGTGGATGTTATACAAGTTCTTTGCAGATTTTGAGCTTAACAAATCGAAAAGGGGAAATTTCATAAGCAAATAATGCATTTGGTCAATCAATTTTCGCTAAGCAAAAATTGGTTTTCGCTTGTTTTAGTCAATCCTTCATTTGCTCAACCTTTTAGCCTTAATGTTATGTTTGGCACGATGGATTAAATGTGAGTGCACAATAATAAGGATTATTGTTGTTCATAACTGAACTCAGTCGTGCTTGACGTGATGAGGAAATATGGGCATTGAAACTTGTCTTGTGCATACAGTGCCCTTCGGGTACAACTCGTGTGTCGATGTGGTAGGTGCTTGCGCTGCAAACTTGAGAGGCATGTTCAGGTCCCCTGCCAACACGGGCTAATAGCTGAATGACGTTGTCCCCTCCCCCTGATGCTTGGAAATTTGGTTGAAGACTGCTTATGTTAATCCAAGGTAGAATGACTTTCCTTAGGCTCTTAGGGGCTTAAGGGTCACGCGGGGATGGAGTTTTTTTTT